ACTTGTCATTCCTCCTTCCCATTGATGACTAATTGTAGAGATAGGAATAGAGGTAAAAATTGGGTCTTTTTAGAAAAGGTGAATTTTGCTTTTGATCGAGACGAAATCATTTTAAACCCATTTTCTTCATTTACGTGTAATAGATGGTAAAGTTCGTCTGTTCGGTTTTCTTTGTTTCTTGCCTGTGCAGAATTTAGAGGTTGTTGAAAGATCTCTCTTTAAAATGACTTTTGGGGGTTTGTCCTGCACTGATTTTAACTTCTTAATCCTTGATGATGTTAAAGATTTAAGTATTAAGCAGGAAATCAAAGAGTAATTTTTAATTGAGCGTCGAAAGTAATCCGGGTTTTCTTTGAATTTGCTCAACTTCGGTCTTTGAAAATTGGTTTGGGGAAAGTCGCGACATGCTCTAAGCCAATCAGATGCCAAACGGAAGCCACTCACGACTTAGTCGCGCGGGCTTTTGGTTGTGTGCCTGATTATACTTGGAGTCCTCATTGGCTAATGACAATGCAATCCTTTGTCATGATTGGCTACTTTGATTGCTTTGGTTTTTACGGCTTTCAATTGAAAACTGCTCTACTACTCGATAATAGCCTGAATTTATCAGAAACAATAAGAGTGATTTACAATTATCTAATCAGAACACACTTAGTGCTCTTTCATGCGTGATCTGTTTTCGATTCATCCGAAGAGTCAAATTTTTCTCTATAATAAAGAAACTTACTTATTTAGAATGTGGATGTTTTCCCCACACTTGTGGTACTGCTTCTGTTCATGACATTGGCCACGTTTACTCCGTTGAAATATTAGTTATAATTTCGTTCTCGGGATCATTCAAATTTCAGTGATAAGCAAATTTGATTATTTCTCGCGTAGTTAGAAGAAAACCATTTTAGTAATTGACAAATGGTGTTGAATAATGTATTGTAGGAAGTGAGACAAAAAAAGTAACATTGGAGAAATATTTTGGTGTATGTAAGAATATTAGATAAGTTATGAAACAATGAAGTAAAAAAAGCTTTTCGTTTTTTTTAAAGTGATGGAGTGTGCCTTAGTAACCCGTGACTTGGAAAGGAACCCCGATCAAATGTAATTGCTAGAAAATAGAATCGATCGAGAATTTTTTTGACCCACCGACCCTGGAGTTACAATACGACCCATGAATCACACTTTAAGGTGACAAGAGTGAAGGAAATGATGAGCGGCTTAAGAAGTTGATTGCTAAACAAATTCTCTTTGTCGGTACTATAGGAAATGTACGATCAACAGTATTGAAAATATACAAATCGAATTTAACGTGTTAAGGGTTAATCTCGTCTGCCACCATTTTAAGTCATCATTTCCGGCGGTCTAAAATGTTTGTGGTAGAAGTTCAACTAGCTTCATTAATAAAAAATAAAAACAAAAAAAACCTGCAGTTAATAAACATGATAGAAAACTTTATCGGCATGAAGTTAACCTGAGTTTGCCATTTTGGTTTGTCCTGAAGTGAGACGTATTAGGATTGTCGAAAGAGAAATCCCGCACGGTGCCAGTCAATTTAAGCAATAGAGCACATTTTTCTGGGCTCTATAACGTTGATATCGCCACTCGGGATGTTGGAAGAACACCGGAGAGGTTACAGATCACGATGAGTGATTTATAAGCTTTTTCGAGTATGCTCCCAACATCCAAAGAGGCTTCATCATATCACAGAGCCCGGAAAAATGTAGTCTCCCTCGCAGCCGTTTTTATCTCGTCATGTAGGAGCGTTGCGCGACGAGACTAAAAACGGCTGCGAGGGAGACCAGGAAAATGCGCTGTAAAGCTTTTATGACATAACTGACCATGCGGGCTCTATAGTCCTATAAAGCATCCGCTTGGAAACTGAATTCTGACCACTCGGGTGAGGTGTAATATTTTCATTATGTTATAATCCATTCTAAATCACCTTCGTTCTCACGGTGTTTCGTGGGTGCTGTCGCCTAAATGGTGCCATAGTTAGTAGAGGGGACTAACTATGATGGTGCTTGACATTTTAACTCCCAGGATCTGATTCAAGTTGTTAATTCTACCCTCCAGCTGCTACACATTGCCTTGTATGTTAGTTAAAAGAATTTTAAATCATGATATGGTAACGACTTGTGCCTGATAAGTTTGAGTATTCTCATTACCTGTTTGCTGGATAGAGTATGGATGTTATAGGGAGAAGTTACACGTTAATCGCCTCTGGGACAGTAAAGGGTTAATGCAGCCACAACTGGCTACTGGAGATAAGACTTATAGATCGAATGTCAACAGTTAAAGGACCAGTGATTATTTTTTGGGGATTACATGGTTTTCAGGGGGAACGAGGTGGAGTCTAGTTGTCGCCAACAGAGTATAAAGCATAAAAATAAGGAGGAGATCATTATTCTACTACAGAGCCTCAAGGGGATCAGCTAATTAGACATTTCTAAAATCCTCGGAGTCTCCTTTCCATCCCACCTCCCTGCGGGGGGAACGAGGGGAGTTCCCCGTAGGAGCTCATTTTATCCAGTGAACTTTAGAAGGGACCAAAAGTTGACTTCATGCTTTAATAAGGAGAAGACCGAGGACGATTAGGGTTTGAAAGTGATCGGCTCTTATAGCTTAGTTATGGCAACCGCTTCGAACTTGAACGATGACAAGCCAATCTTGCATCTCGTTAGCACCAGGTGCGGTTACCCTTTCAAACACCTCTCTCGAGAAAAAAAATGTTACTCCTTAAGGGGAGATGATTTTAAGGATATGCGCTTAATATTGGTTTTTGTCTAATTAACCTTCTTAATACGGTAAGCCACGTGCTCGTGCCTAGTTGGGACACCTCTCCAGAACAACGTCTACGATGTTCTATCGCCCCTCCCCCTTCCAATGTCGATAATTGCCAATGTTTCCATGCCATCTTACAGAAAAACATCGAGAGGGGCAGGGAGGGGGGGCAAGGGGAGGGAAGAGGATCGAGGCTTCCACAAATGTGTCTTGGAGTGTGTTTTTTTATAATTTGTACCATCTAACTGAGTGCGCCGAAATAATACACCATGATTAGCACAACATCCGAAATATTTTATTTCAGTGTTGCTAGGGAGAAGCAATAAAAAAAAGCTGTACAGATTTACTGAAATCCCCATTACATGATAATTCTAATTCTCGAATTGTACTATTTGTTTTGTAAAATATTCAAAAAAAGCAGCAACGACAATTTCTGTACATACACGCATATACCTAAATATATTCTTCATTGTAAGAAATATACAACTTTTTTTAGAGACATGTTTCGGGATGCTTATGCCATCTTCAATCAATGAGTAACTGAAGGTGAGTAATTATATAACAGACAAGTAGATGAATAAAATTTTTACAGCATGATGTAATACAAAAGCGGTTACTAATTACAGCGTGACAACAAACATAAAATTAAAGGTGTGAACTAAAATGCTAGAAAAGTGTTATAATGCTGTAATTGTTTGTTAAGTTCAGGTTTGATCTTATTTATATAAAAAGCTTCGTTGAGTTTTAAATCAATTGAGTTGATGGCAGAATCCAGAATACTAAAGCAAGAAATGAAGTATTTGTTCTTACAAAAAGGAGATGTGTTAAAATGCTTAAAAATATGCGAGTTTTTATCGCTTTCCGTGTGCTCCTTTATCCAAGTAGAGAAGCGGCGACTAGTTTCGCCGATATAACGGGAATTACATCCCGCACAAGAAAATTGATAAACTACTATGGATTTTAGAGCATCAGGATTACGATCTTTAACACTGAACATGTTATTAACTTTCAAAGAAGTGAAAACTAGTTTGATATTTAGGTCCGATTTGCAAAAGCGCTCAGAGAGCTGTCGGAGTTTAAGGCTCGCTACTTTAGAATAATAGCCGACAAAAGGGAGTTTAAAGCAACGTGTATTATTTTCATCAATGTTCCCGCTATTTTGAGTGGAGGAGCCGTTAAGATACCGCTTGAAAGTTCTGTCAATAATATGCAAAGGAAAAGAATTACGTTTTAAAGTGTCGGAAAGTTTATTAAGATCGCTTTGAAAGTCGGAAGAGGTGCTGTTGATGTTGTAGATACGGTCAATAAGAGTTTGGATAAGGCCAATTTTGTAACATGATGGAATAAAACTAAAGAAATTTGTTAGGAGACCAGTGTAAG